CAACGAGTCTTGCTCGGTGGCCCGTTTCCGCTTGGAAAAGTGCACGTTTCCGCTTGGAAATATAAAATAAAAAAGAAAGAAAATAGTGAAAAAATATAAAGTTCTGGGGAAAAAAATTAAGTGAAAAATAAAAGATAGAAAGAAAGGAAAATAAAACCACCAAAAAGTCAAAAAAAATCAAAATCAAAAGAAAAAGTTTAGTATAATATCTGAAAAAAAAATAAAGTTAAGAAAAAAAATAAAAAAGAAAGAGAAGAATGAAAAATATAAAATTCTGGGGGAAAAAATAAAATGAAAAAGAAAAGATGAAAAGAAAATAAAAAACCAGTAAAGAGTCAAAAAAATATCAAAATCAAAAGCAAAGAAACAAAAATAAATAAATAAATAAACCAAAACGAGTGTTTTGGTTGAAAGGACTGTTCATTGGACAGTGCTTTTGGAAATTTATAATATAGTTAGATATAGATAGACTAGACACACGAGAGAAAAAGGGATGCGAGGATATAAAATTCGGAGAGGTGCCTAATGAAATAGCAGAAACTAGTAAATAGCGTACAATTACTCATCTTCAACTATGATAAGAAAGTGATACAACTGATGTGCACAAGTTTTGATGATTTCAATGACAAGCTGGCGAAGAATTTGAAATGTGAAATGTGAAAGGTTATAATGGGATTCCACACTTCAAGCTGCTCTAAATTTTCTCTTTTGTTTGTTAAAGTTCACGGAAGAAGTGTTTCTGAAATTTTTAGAAAGCTTCCGGCAGAGGTTTTCCTGCTAAAAACGCATTGAATAGAACAAGAGATCTCTCTGGCTGTGAAAAGGGAGCTTCATGAGATGCTCCCCTAATAGTTGCATAAGACAAAATATCACCGTACACTTGTGTCCAACCAGCAACCTATATGAAGAAGTTTGGAAAGGAGACAAGTCATATAATAAAACTAGAGCTATTAGAGTATTTGACACATTTACCCTTAAAAGTTTTACTGAATTGGCATGTTATAAATTTTTAAGTTTGGTTAATTAGCCCTGAATTTAAAAAGTATTTCAGAGGGCTTCCTCTAAGTTTGTTTGATATGGATCTTTCTACCTAAGAGTGATTTTCTCTTTTGAGCTTTTTGAAAAAATTTAAAAATCATCGCTAACCTGTTTTCCTTCAAACCAGGCTCTGTAAGGCACAGTAGTGTTTAGTGCCAAGTCCTTTGCCAATCCATTTACCAGAGTTCTTGACCCAGTTAGTGGGAGAACTGAGTCTTGGTCTCCACTGTAATTTGACAATAGCAGAAATTTACTATTATTAAAACAAGATTACTTTGCATTTCAAACATCATGAATATTATAAAATTTAAATACAATTGGGTGAATTTTATGGCTTCCCTAATTACCTGTAAACTAAAACCCTGATTCCAGACTTGACAAGGGAACCAAGGACGTGAATTGTTGGTATTTCAAGGTTTTGCATATCATACCTGACGACACTGAAGTAAGAAGCATAAAAAATACACCCACAGTCAGAACAATGTGAAAAACACATATTGATTAAAGAACGAAAAAGAGAACTTTCTTGTTTGCTTCATTACATGATTTAGTTTTGATATGATGGGAATGCTATGCTTGTGTTGTTAATTCACTAAAATTCTCCTAAAGTCTTAAGCTAGTTATTACGGGAAGAATAACAGAATGGAAAAATGAATCTTTCATTCATTCAGAAAATAATGTTACAAAACCTCAGTTTTATATACAAACTAATTAACAAGCTTGCTGAGTAAGTTTAACAAACTAACAACTTGCTGAGTAAGTTGTACAAACTAACAAGTCTAACTAACTGACTCTAAAACTCCTCCTCAAGATGGACTGTGAATGTTTTTAACAGCCATCTTGGACAACAAAGGAAACAATAACGTTGAAGGCAAAGCTTTGGTGAACATATCTGCCAATTGATGCTTGGAGCTGATCGGCATGAGTTTAAGAAAACCAGCAGAAACTTTATCACGGACAAAGTGACAGTCAATTTCAATGTGCTTTGTACGTTCATGGAAGATCGGATTAGAAGCTATATGCAAAGCAGCCTAATTATCATAAAAAAGAAGAACATGACCATCAAGAGTCACAAAAAAATCTTTCAACAATTGTTGAATCCAAACAAGTTCACTGGTGGTGACAGCCAAGGCCCTGTATTCGGCCTCAGCAGAAGAACGAGATATGGTGGACTGCTTCTTTGCTTTCCATGAAACCAGTGAATCACCAAGGAACACACAGAAACTAGAAACATATTTCCTGGTTTCAGCACAAGAAGCCCAATCAGCATCGGAGAAAGCACGGAGCTGCAAAGAAGAAGTGGAAGAAAAGAATAAACCCTGACCAAGGGTTGTCTTGAGATAATGAAGAAGTTTATGTGCAGCTTGTAAATGAGGGACCCGAGGCTGCGACAAAAACTGACTCAACTTGTGCACTGCAAAAGTGATGTCAGGACGAGAGAGTGTGAGATAAAGAAGACGACCAATGAGACGTCTATATTGGGAAGTATCTTGGAGAAGCTCTCCAGCGGTAGCAGTGAGTGAAAATTTAGGATCCATAGGCAGGGAGGCAGGTTTAGACGCCAAAAAACCAGTGTCCTCCAGAAGCTGTAAAGTATACTGCCGCTGTGAGAGGACTATCCCACATGAGGAACGGGCAATTTCAAGGCCAAGGAAGTACTTCAATGGTCATAAATCCTTCAACTTAAAAGAACCGTGTAAGAAGGCCTTGATAGAATTAATTGTATCCAGAGAAGACCCGGTGAGAACAATGTCATCCACATATACCAACAAAGCAACAAAGGAAGACCCGGTACCTTTAGTGAACAATGAATAATCAAACTTGGATTGCTGAAAACCAAACTGAATTAAAGAGTGCGAAAACTCGGAGTACCATTGACGAGAAGCTTGTTTCAGGCCATAGATTGACTTGTGCAACTTGCAAACCCATTTGCCAAGAGAAGCAGAAAACTCCCCCTGACGTTTGTACCCAAGTAGCAAATCCATGTACACTCCCTCAAATAGGTCACCATTAAGGAAGGCATTATTAACATCTAGTTGAGCCAAATGCCAATTGTTAATGGATGCCAAGGCTAGTAATACCTTCACAGTAACTAACTTAGCCACTGGTGAGAAAGTATCAATGTAGTCAACACCCTCTTGTTGAGTGTAACCTTTAGCCACCAAACGGGCTTTGTAACGCTCAATGGAACCATCGAATTTGTGCTTGATCTTATACACCCATTTGCAACCAATAGAGTGTTTGCCGGGAGGTAACAAAACAACAGACCAAGTGTGATTAGACTCCATAGCATCAAGTTCGGACTTCATATCATCACGCCAATGTTGAAAAGGAACTACTTGATGATAAAACTGGGGCTCAAAATGTGAAGAGACAGCCATAGCAAAGGCTTTATGTGAAGAGGAAAGAGAGTTATATGATAAGTAATTAGACAGGGGATATAAAGTGTTGGAAGGGGAAGGATGGGAAAAGTTGCAATGAAAATCCTTGAGATAAGATGGGGTTTTGGTAGGGCGAGAGGAACGCCTAAGAGAAACTGGATGAGAATTCTGAGGTGAAGAGGGCAGTGAAACACCAGATTGGGCAGGAGAAGAAACTGGGTTAGTTGAAGTGGGAGATGGGAAATGATCAGAGGCCAGGGATGGAAGAACTATATCAGGGAAAGGGTCAACAGGATGTTCATGAACAGGAAGAAAGGAAAAAGGAAAAACATGTTCATGAAACACAACATCTCTGGATATAAAGAAACTTTTACTGTTGAGGTCAAAAAGCCTATACCCTTTCACACCATTAGGATAACCAAGAAAGACACACAATCTAGCACGTGGATCAAACTTCGTACGATGAGAGGATAATGTGGAGGCAAAAGCAAGACATCCAAAGACTCGCAATGAATAGTAGTTGACTGGCCTTTTAAACAGGAGCTCATATGGTGACTTGTCACTAAGTAGGGGAGATAGTGTCCTGTTTATAAGAAAGGTTGTAGTCATGACACACTCAGTCCAAAAAGTAATTGGAACTCTGGATTGAAAAAATAAGGCCCGAGCCACATTGAGTAAATGTTGATGTTTGCGTTCAACAACCGAATTTTGTTGTGGAGTTTCTACACAAGAAAATTAGTGCAAAACTCCCTTATCATGAAAAAGTTCTGTGAAAGCCAATTCCTTAGCATTATCTGACCGAAAGTTTTTGATCTTCACATGGAACTGAGTCTCAACAAAATTAAAAAATCTGGGTATAGCTGTAATCACGCCAGACTTGTGTTTCAGCAGAAAAATCCAAGTAAACCTAGTGCAGTCATCATCAATTGTCAAAAAATATTAATATCCAAGTGCACTAATATGATAGGGACCCCATATATCACAATGGACCAAGTCAAAAGGTAACTGAGACATGTTATTATGAGAAACAAAAGACAAACGCCTTTGTTTTGCTAGAGGACAAATATAACATGGTTCATCATTATTACACCTGAAATTATCACACTGTAATTGAGGAGCTAAAGTACTCAACCGTTTGAAAGACAAATGGCCAAGTTTACTATGCCAAACGTGAGCTGACACCTTATTAACGTGAACTAAGGAATTAGAAACTGAAAAATTCTTATGACTCAAAGATTCAGAAAGAAATTCTCGAGTTGAAGATTCTGTATTCAACACATATAGTTCTTTAACTTTATCACCCTTGCCAATCATCTTTTGATTGTTGGAGTCTTGAATGATAAAGTGGTCAGGAAAGAAGCTTACTACAAGCTGGGAATCAATCATAAGTGCACTGACAGAGAGTAAGTTGAAATAAAACTGAGAAACAAACAGGACATTCCTGAGAATCAAGTGAGAATTAATCTGTACATCTCCGGACAAACTGACTGCAATTCAAGTATTATTAGGCAGGGTCACAGTAAAATCCTTTAGAGGCCTCACGAATAGAAATAAGTTGGCATTTGAACAAATATGCTTAGACGCACCTGAATCAACTATCCAATGATCTAAAAAAGGATAGTTAATTCTCTTTGAAACACAAGAACAAATACCTGTCAAGATTGAAGAAGAAGAAGCATTTGTTGGAGTAACATCCTTCACAGAAGTGGCCAGATGACAAGATAACACTGTCATCAACTGCTGGTATTGATTATTGCTCAAAGTTTTGAGAAAGCCTCCTATAGCTCCATCTTCGGGATTCAAACTGGTTTGAGAATCAGGCTGACCAGATGCTTGGTTGGCAACAACATTTTGAAACTTCGGCCTAGGCTTATAACCTGGTGGATACCCATGAATTTTGTAACATTTCTCAATGGTGTGTCCATGAAAATTACAATGAGTGCAGAAAGGCCTCTCTTTCCTCTGTCCCTTATTACTTCCAGAATTCTGAAAGACAGAACTAGTAGGATTAGCCCGTTTAGAACTATCATGATTGGCTGCAAAAGCCAAGCTGGAAGCATAATCCACTCCTGAACTATTGTGAGAAACAACACTGCGTTGACGTTCTTCTTGAGAAAGAAGAGCAAAAACTTTGTTGATAGGAGGCAACAGATCAAGAAGAATAAGTTGTCCCCTAATTTGAGCAAAGTTGTCGTTTAATCCCATAAGGAAGGACATAACGTACTCTGCTTGATAGAACTGATTCAATTCCTTGACCCCTCCACAAGAACATTTTCCTCAGGAACAAGAAGGTTTGAAATTGCTCAGTTCTTCCCACAGCGCCTTCAACTTCGTGAAATATACACCAATAGATTGCTAATTCTGAACATGATTCACTAATTCTCGGCGCAATTGAAAAATTCTAGGGCCATTACTTTGTTGAAAACGATCTCGAAGATCAATCCAGATCTCAAAGGCAGAATCGGAAAACAACACACTAGCAGAAATTTCTTTGGAAACAGAATTAAGAATCCAAGAAATAACTATGTTATTATTCCGAATCCAAGAATTTAGAAGATTTGCATCCGTACCGTCTGGGCGCATAATGGAACCATCGATGAATCTGAGTTTGTTCTTCACAGATAAAGCAATCATCATCGCCCGACTCCAAGATGTATAGTTGTCACCAGTAAGCTGGTGCAAAACAAGTACAAGCTCTAGGCTATTAGAATGATGAAGGAAGAGAGGATTCATCGGATCTTCAATGGCAGATCTGCCATGTTGCGAATTGGAGGAACCGAAAGAAGGAAATGCTGAAGACTCCATGAATGCGCTTGTATGAACAAGGAATCAAAGGAAAAATCAAGAAAGGAACAAAGATCTCTGGTACGAACAAGGAATCAGAAGGAAAATCAAGAATGAAACAAGGAAAAATCAAGAGGATTTGGGTTGCGGAAAAATACGCTCTGATACCATATTACGGGAAGAATAATAGAATGGAAAAATGAATCTTTCATTCATTCAGAAAATAATGTTACACAACCTCAGTTTTATATACAAACTAATTAACAAGCTTGCTGAGTAAGTTTAACAAACTAATAACTTGCTGAGTAAGTTTAACAAACTAATAAGTCTAACTAACTGACTCTAAAACTAGTCCCAGGTGAATGAAAATTTTTATTTATGGAAGGCAGTAAATCTCTCTCTCTCTTCATGGAATAAAAATAAATGACAGAATTTTTTTAAATAAGTTAGTAAATAGAAGTAAATTCTCTATTTTCTAGATTTACCACATGACAAAATTTAGTAAATCTAGGAATTACTCCTTAACAAAATAATTCGGGATTTACCTGATTAGTCAGGACTAATTAATCCCCTTCGGATGTGGTCATGACAATATGAAGTACAAAATGGGAGAATATATTAAAACAAATTCCCACACATATGTGACTTGATAACAAACTAGGGACCACGTGCTTTTACACTATTTAGTTTACCAATATGAAGGGATTTGTGAAGCTTTATGGAATCCAATTCATTTTCATGATTATGATTAGGAAGACAAGTTTGTTTAGTTGGTTTCAAACTGTTAGTACTTAGAAAAAGTTTAGACAGTTACTTGCTGCAAACTGTCCATTCAGTTACTCCATGAAGCTCAGCATGAAAAGCCTTCTGCACATCTTTTCTGTTTAAGTATTTGGTCGTTTGATCTTCCACACACACATCAATCTTTGCTGTTTCTTGCTGAAAATGAGATGAAATCCGAATTAGTTACAAGTCTATAGACTTCTCAATGCTTCAAAGCACTATAATGAAAATTTTGTATACATATGAAGGTGAACAAAAGCCTCACCAGATGATTAAGCATCAGAGATTGAGTGGAAACTGAGGATAAACAGACATCGAGAGTAACATCGTACAAATCGACGAATTTACTCACTTCCTTAAAGGCTTGTCTCCAAACTCCATAGCAAGCAGGGCTGACACTGCCAATGATCTGAATTTGTCTTCTGTACGTGGAATAATTACACACTAATGTGGCACTTTCATAACTTGAATCTGATATCAATCCGTGAGACCAAAAGAACTCCGCGCGCGAATTGAAATCAGTGTTGAATTCCAGAAGAGGATTACCTATCTGAAGCATAAATAATCTCACTTTATAATCCCACTAACATGAAAGGAAAAGGAGATTGGGATTTGGCACCTTTGTCACTTACGTTAGAAATCAATAATTTGATGAAAACTATCACCCAAAAGTCAAAAACATTCATGTCAGATCATCAAGAACTAATAAATCTGTAAGTGAAAGCGTATTTGAATTCATATTGACTAATTTCTCTCTAGAGTCGTGCAGTTTGTCTTCCAGATCAACACGTTTTCTTAGAGAACCCTTTAACTTTCTCTGTACTCTCTCTGATGATGGTTGTCAAAAGGAATGAAATGTTACGTGTGATCTGGAGACCATAACTGTCATTTATTGATAACTTTCATGTTATCTTTTAGTATTTCTATTTTAGTCCATCATAAAAATAGAAATTACCCTTAAGTCTCTACACATTAAAGGCTCACACCCTATTAGATATATTAAAATCCAAAATATCAAAACCTTAGTAGATCACTTTTAATTGGGTTTAACCTTATATGATAGCCCGCAACAGATAATTATTCACATATAAACCCAACGTTAGATTAAGGATCCAACAACTTAAACATTCCACGCTTTGGCAGTGTGTCCATTGGACTTTTATTTATTGCAATTAATCCCTCCAACTTGTTAAATTGTTGTAATGCGACTCATTTTACAAATTTTATTCTGAATTCTAATTGGATCTTGAGGTATTGAGAATTGGAGAAGCGAATCTTGTATTAGGATTTGAATTAAGATTATGGAATTTTTAGTCCGACATATGCTTTCTCATCGCCAATTTAATTCACCATCAGCAAAATGTGCCACATTGCAAACGTTTAGTAAGTTCTTGGTATAAATTTTTCTAGTTAAAAAAATCTCATCGCCAATTTAATTCAGCATAAAAGTTTAGGGAAATGTTGTCAAAATCTTAAAAATTCAGGGAGAAAATGTGCAAAAAAACCTAAAGAAGATCATAAGAAAAAGTTCATATCACTCACTGCTATTCCTTTCAGACTAAAGTTTACTTTTGATTCGACAATAAGTTGTGCAAGCTGTGGAACATAATGCCCTGTTAACAAACACAATTGTTTTATTAATTCAGACAGTTTTCCAATTACATAGATTCTTTTGATAGGGTCAGAAAACTACCTGCATAGCTCTCTCCTGTGATGAAAAAATCCCTGCTTTTGTACTCCGGGAATTCGAGGAACCAGCGCCGAAGGAACTCAAGATTATCATGTGCTGAAAGGAACAGTCCAAGAACAGAGTATACAAAAGAAAAATGTCAAATAATGGGCACACACATCTGCATATTTATACAACTCATTGAAACATTTATTTAAGGCTTTAGACAGTCAATGTCTAAGAAGAAATTTGTATATTGAATACACAAAGTTCTATTAATGACTCAGAAGTTTAATGTAGAATGTAGATACCAGTCTTCCCATCATTCACTTCTGTGTAGAATGATTGATTAGCCGAGTAGGAAAAACCAACTCCTGCAGGGGATTCCAAGTACAGCATATTTGCCCCTGTAGGAAGAATACTCAAAAAAAAAAAAAAAAAAAAAAAAAAAAAAAAAAAAAAAAATTTTTTTTAAAAAAAAAAATGGTAAAAAAAAAAAAAAAAAAAAAAAACACACAAGTAAATTATTTTTCATAAAAACAATGGTTTAGAATTAACCATAACACCGAGCAACACCAATCAGACATTGAAACCACTGTTAAGTAATTAGCATAAACAAAATTTAATTTCCGCAACTTGAATCTGCAGCTATGGGAAAGAGAAAAACTGTAGTAGAGAATCTTTAACCCCCTTTGGTTAGTTAGTTTGAATTAAAGTTGATTTGGACATTTTTATTTGAATAGAAAAATTTAAACTGTATAGTTTAAATTGTTGTTTGAATTGGTATTTGGATGTATAGTTAAAATTTTAATCTGAATAAGAAATAAAATTTAAATTTTTGTTTAGTATGTGTAAAAAGCAGAGGGAATGAGCACATTTTTACTATTTAGAAATTTGAATGGTTGAATTTAAGGGAAAAACTAAATTTTAAGTTGGACAGTTCAATTTGATCTAAGCGGGAAATATAATTCGGTCTGCGTACTTGTCAAACACGAATTCAAACTGTGCTAACTGTTGAAACTGAATTAAACTGAACTAAACCGGTAAAACAAACATGAGCTTAATTAATTTGTTACCTTTATTCCAGCTATAATCATTCTTAAGAAGAATATTTCCACTTGGTTTAAAGGGTCCATGTTCACAAAAAGCCCCAGCTCCAACGGAAGAACAACCAGGCCCTTCATAAACCAAAAACCAATATTATTGTCACAAGAATCCAACAGAAAACTAGTACTTACAACAATAGAAAAATACAAAAATGAGTACAAATTACTCACCTCCATTTAGCCAGAGAACAAGAGGCTTTGAAGCAGGATCAGTTTCAGCTTCAACAAAGTAGTAAAAGAGTGATCTTTTTGTGCTTTCATCCACAGTTATATAGCCTGAATACTGTTGGAAACTGACTTGAGGCTGTCCTGGTAAACTGATGATTTTAGCAGCTTCCGAAATGGAGTTCCAAGTTATCAATATTTCGATAAGAGTTCTTGCAAATATAGTCCATGGCTGAGATCTCATATTCATAATGCGTGATAAGAAGAAGAAGAAGTAGAAAGCATGAATAGCCAGAGTGTAGAATATTTTATGATTTTTTTTTAACTCTCAGACGAATACATCATGGTTAAATATCTCTTTTTATTCTGGATTCCAGCCTTTTCTTTTGTACTGATTCTGGTATGTCAATTATTTGATTATTTTAGTAGTGACATGTGATTGTGGTCACTTGTTGGTGAGTTTTATTGGACTAATTCATCATTAAAGGGAAGACAAATATTTAAGAAGAAACCACTTTGATGCTTTACAGATATATTACTAATTTTTATGTTTCTGAATTTGACTTTTAAGATTCTAGTTTATTTCCTTTGTTTCAAGACCTAGTGATGTGATTTGAACCAACAAAGATCAACGGATCTTTCAAATTTTTCTTGGTAGTTGCTCTATAAGATGGAAAACCCTACACAAATCACGTGGAAAATTTTGTATTAATTGAATAATGCTTGTATTCCACAATGTGAATAAGTTGCTTTTGTTTCCAAGCCTAGCGAAGTATTCTCTTTCTTCTAATTGGTTGAACAAATTTATTGACATGATAAATAATATATATTTGGATTTTCTTTCGAAAGTTATAAAAGTTTCAGGCAATTCATTTCTTTTAGATTTTTAACATTTTTGCCTTTTAACTTTTAGAGCTCGACAACATATCCTCTAAATTTTTAATTTTTACATTGTTTCCCCTCAATTGCTAAATATTTTCACTGTGCATCAATTTTATCTTTCTTATATTCGGGTGTTGATTTAAAACTTTGAGTGATTTGTGTTACTTTAAGACTTCGAAAGATTTGTCTCCTTTTTTTTTTCTCGTCTACTGGCCCTTAGAATGGAGTATATTGCAACAATATTCTTCCAAGTTGTGGGACTAAAATATTAAAATTAAAAATTAGGGGGTAAGTTATAAAAAATCAAAACAATTCAAATGATAAAAGTGATAAAGTTTTTTTGAATATCAGGAAAATGATTAATGGAAGTAGATAGTTGGATCTCTGGTACTTTTTGGATCACGGTATAATATACCGATTGACTAAAGCTGAAATAAAAAGGAAAAATCACTTGGGATAAGATATGGTTTTCCAGCTATTGACAAAACTTCACCGCAAGTGGGGCACTATATGGTATTGGAAAATCGTTATATTGCCCCAACATTAGATTCTGTTCACATGCATTACTTCAACTCTAGGTTAGAATAAAAACAAAAGTAGTGACGCAAAATATCAACCATTGTGTTGTATATACAACTATATATATATATATATATATAAATTGTCTCTAATTCAGTACCGGATTAGAACGACACGTGTTTATTTTTATTAAAAATATGTATATTTTCTTTTAAAAATATGTATATTTTTTCTTCCTATAATTTATTTAAACACCTATATACATATTTTAAGATGAAATATATATATATTTAAATAAAATATACATGTGTCATACATTTGTGCTAATTTATTTGACGGGCTTTTTACACTCATTCCCCTTGTATTCTCTGAAAACAACAGAGATATCCTCTTGATGAAAAATTGTCACCCCTATACGCTTAATTCTGTTAAGTTTATATTATATAAAATGACCAAAACACCTCAGTTAATATTAGTCAATAATTCAGAACACCAAATCCCAACCTTTGAATTTTAGTTCTATACAAAAAAAACAAAAAAACAAAAAACCAAAAAACCAAAAAAAACAAAAACAAAAACAACGAAAAATAAAACAAACCCCCAACCTAACTAGGGGTGTCAATTCGTGTCACGTGTCGTGTTCTTATCATTTTTTAATTGTTTATTTCTAAATTTGTAGTCAATCTGAACACGATCCGTGACACGAAATTTTATAAAAAAGCGCAACACGAACACGACATGGTCACTTTACGGGTTGACACGATACGACATGAAAATGACTCGTGACACGAAATTGACCCGTGAACTCAAAATTGACACGAAAATTGTATTTTTTTTATTTTTAGTTTTTACATATTATAAATAACTTAAAATTCATAACACACTAAAATACAATAACATCCATTAAAATTAAGCAAATAATAGTATAAGATTTTGAGTATAACTATCATGATATCGCAAGTTCATAATAAAATCAAAAATATGTAATGAAAAATATATGTATTTTTTAGTTTTTTATGGGTTTCGTATCGTGTTCGGGTTAGGTGGGTCAAATCCGAAATTAACCCGTGTTTTTCGTGTCAATTTCAGGTCGACCCAATTTTGACCTAAAATTCGTGTTCTTTTCGCGTCATGTTGTGACCCATATTGCCGACCCTACACCCAACCCAACCCAAACTATTGCTCATGCTCCCATGCCCTGTTGCCCCCAACCTGCGTCCTCGTCAGCCTCTCCTCTCCCAACCCTCACCCCTATAGGCCCCTAAAATCCATCACACCCCCCACCTATGTTAGCCCTACATAGAATCCGTGACCCACCATGATCCATGAAGATCTACAACCATAACATTCGAGCGTGTCAAGTCAGTGTCAACCCGTCCCCAGTTTTGGCATGACCAGTCCACGCCCACCCCAGGAGATTTGCAAGTTCACCCTGCGAGCAAGGCCTCTATCAAGCCCATCTATTTGCCGGTAAGGTCGCATCGTGAAGTTGTCCCAGATAATTAGTGTAATTCCTAAGAAATTCATAAGTATAAATCGTGAAATTAATCAAGATTTATACAATGAATTTCTTAGTATACTTCAGTTTGACCTCAATGTAGTTCGTGATTACGGTTTTGAATTAAATAAATTGTTAATACTTTTGTTGAATTTTGATTTTTATAAAAATATAAATCTTGCAAACTCATCAAATTTTAGATGAAAAATTCTTTAATACGTTGTCGAATTATATCAACGTTATTTTATGATGGGAATTAAAGAAATTTAATTTGTTATAGTTATCAAAATTTCATTTGTGAAAAGTTCATCACATACAAAATTAAGAGTGAACGTAACGAGATTTCTGACGATAGAGATTCCAGTAAAATTTAAAAATAAACGCTGATTGAAATCACAAATTTCTATATAAATAATGAATTATTCTAGAGATCAGAGTAATTAATCTATGAATCAAGATTAATTACAGAAGGACTTAGAATTATCGATAATAGATATTTCCCTCTAACTATGAAGTTACGATAATAATAAATTTATCAAGCCAAGTTAATAATGCAATACAGTTAATAGGAGTTCATGGGTACTATCACTACGCAGAGTATACTGAAATAAATACTAACAGATAAATTACTGATGATTTGATTTTTAGAAGTCTACGTAGACATAGGTGTCCCTGATCCCACGGTCTAGATTTAGTTAGATTTAAAGTCAATGGCTAAGATTCAAGTTGGTAAAAAAAAAAAAGGAAAAGAGAGAGAGAGAGAGAGAGAGAGAGAGAGAGAGATTATGAATTGTCCGGATTACCTATGGGTAGTCAGGAAGATTATCAAATTTTACATGTGATAAGTGATAAGATAGAAATTAAACTCAAAATGGCATAGAGAGCCCTTAAATAAGAGCTTAAAAAGGTGAATGAGTGAAGTGGCCAGTGGTTAATAGAGTGTAAACCTTCTCTATCATCATTAGCTTCATTAACTAGTGGTTAATAAAGTGCAAAGCTACTCCATCATCATTAGCTTCATTAACTAGAGCTAGTGGTAAAACAATGCAAAATAGATTTTCAAAATTTTCCGCTCTCCCCTCGCATTGTGGCCGAATTTTTGGAGCAAAAGTAAGAAGTAAAACTTTGCAAATCAGCCCCCTCCTAAGCTTTTCTATAAATACGTGAGGATTGAATAAATTTTTTTTTACCATTCTCTTACCTTCTCTCTCTATTTTGGAAGAAAGAAAAACTCTCTTTTCTCCTCTCCTAGCCGCCCCTCTCTCCTCACTTCACTCTCAAAAATCTTCCTTCATCAATCTCAAGACACATTCACCTATTAGCACAAAATTTTGAAGAGCAAGTTTAAGTGTTATGGGTACGATTTGTGTTGATTCTCCTAATTCCTTCAAAGTTGTCACTTTTTCAAACTAGAGTCTAAAGTCTCGTTCATTTCGCGGATTCGAATTTTCAATTCGAGTTGAGATGTGACATTTTCTGATAGCTTTTTATTATAGCAGAAAAAGTTAAATGTGACATTTTCTGAGAGTTTTTTACTGTAGAAATGTAAAACTGAAAACTCGAATCGGTGAAATAAACGAAACCTAAATGTTAGTTTTTCTTCTCTTGGAGAATAGATCAACCTAGAGGAAGGAGTAGGATCTCAAGAAAGGGGTTTTTCAAGCAAGGTAGAGGATCAAAACCCTTCTAGTATAAAAAGCTCAAATACTTGGTGATGTGAAGAGATTTGGTGTTTTTGACTAAGTTGTTGCCTCAAGAGTTGCGATTTCGTTTGGATATTAAAAGAATATGATGAGGGTTGAGAATCTAATTGTTTTATGATGTGTTCAAGGACTTGAAACGTGGAAAATGCAAAAAGATAAGGTTTTATTGGCAGACTAGAAATAGTCTTTGTGAAAATGTGACTTGTTCACTAGTTTTGACATGAGAATAAGACTTGGCATGAGAAAATGTTATTTTACTTATATGTGATAATCAAAGGTCTAGGACGTTTGGTACAAAAATGAAAACATGACAAAACCGAGACTTGAGCAAAAACGGTACCTTCTAAAAAACGTGGCTCCTTGAAGTTGACATAGTTAGAGGCCTAATTAGTTTTAGGTTCATGGAATAAAAGTTGGAAATCTCAATAAATGGAACAAGTTTTATGAAGAAACCTTTGTCCAATTCGGATTAAAAAGTATAAGAAATGATAGTTACAATTTAAGTACCTTTAAGAGGATCAAATCAAGTTTAGCGTAATAGCAAAACAACTTACATGAAGAAAGTTTTTACATATTCTATTTAGGTTAAGAGTTATAGAGTGTACAAAGATTATTGGCCAAACTTTGATCGAGGTGAAATTACCAATATGGTGAGATTCTGCAAAAGGTCTTGTATAGTATTTTATTCCCTTAGGAAAATGAGCTTATTGGTGAGAAAAAGTCTAGTTTG